AAAAAAAGTGTTGGTCCTTTCAGGGCATCCAAATGGATTAAACCTCTGGACACAGCTCAGAGATGTATAGCCTTGCTGTTAAACAAACAAAAAAAACACAACTCAAGAACAATGCCTAAACAAAATAGAAAAACCTCAAAAAGAGAGTGGAATATATTAAAAACAGAAACACCTTTAAAGTGGATTAAAAGAGGAATCAAATGATAAGGTGTTTACATTTTAACCTAACGACTTCTGCCATAATTGACTTTAAAATGTAACACTTTGTCATTTGATTCCTTTTTTGACCCATTTTTAAAGGTGTTTGTTTCTAATATATTTTTAAATATTTTCTGCTTTCTTTTTGATTGAGGTTTTTCTATTTTGTTTAGGCATTGTTGAGTTTTTTGTTTTGTTTGCTTCGTGTTTGTGGTTTGTAGGATTTTCTGTATATGAAAATCTAGGATAGATAACATCTATAGAGGCTACTAGATTTATAATTATTTCAGGGCATGGCAGGAGAAGTTGCAGGGGGCGGGGCAACTGGACGCTAACAACAATGAATATGAGAAGAATGTTCAGAAATTGAGTGAGGTGATTGCACAAGTCTTAAAATTTTTTAGTAAGTTGTATGGTACGTAAACTATAGGCCAATAAAACGTTTTTTTAAGAATAGAAAAAGTCATTCGTCTTGCAAAATTCTATCATGCAATCTTTAGGTTTGTTTCTTATCACCAAGGCCATATTTTCCAACTAATTACACATTTGATTAGTTTCAGACTGAAGACATTGGTAACGTTCTTTAATTTCTTTATCAGTAGCTTTAGTGGTTGGTGCATAAATTTGAGTAATAGTTGTATTGACTGGATTTCCTTGTATGTGGCCTAGATATCCTATTAAAACCAGCCTTATACTTCAAGATCTAGTTTGACAATAAATGCAGTACCATTCTTCTTGAATATACAGTTTCTGGCATTGAAACTTTATGACTGCATGATTCAAAATGGACAATACCAGTCTTAGTTCAGTAATGCCTGCGATATCGATCTTTATGCATTCCATTTTAGTTTTGACTTTCAATTTTCTTAGAGTCATACTTAGTACATTCCAAGTTACAATTATTAATAGATGTTTGCAGTTGTTTTTTCTCATTTTGAGTGTGCTCCATCAGTAAATGAAGGTCCCAAAGGCATTACTCCATTCACATCATTATGGTCAACACTAATTTAAGAACGCAGCTCTTCCTCTGTCATATTTTGAGTGCATTTCAACATGAGCGTATCCCCTGCACAATCTGACAATGTTTCCATGTTATCCCTGGATATTTAGGGGCTTATTCCTTCTTGGTGCTATATTCTTAGTCTGGAAGATCTGCTGAAAGCTATTCACACAGCTGATGCTTGAAATACCAGTTACATAGCTTCCAGGATCACAGCAACCTACAAACTAAGACAAATGGGAATAACTCAAGTGTACGAGTGGTTCTCTTATTTCAAAATAGGTGACATGTCAATTGATGGCAAACCTCGTTCTGGATGTCCGTCAACTTCCCAAATGGGTGAAAAGGTTGACGAAATCAGTGCACTTATGCTCAAAGACCGATGACAGACCACTGAAAAGATGGGGGAGTTCTCCAGCCTGTCTTGGAGCTCGGTTCAGTGAATTTTAATGGAAGATATAGGGATGAGAAAGGTTGCTGAGAAATTTGTGTCTTGGGTTCTGACTGACCAGGGACAAATGCATTGAGTGGAAATGTGCCCTGTTCTGAAAGAACAGCTCAGAAACGACCCAGACTTTTTCCCCAAGGTCGTTCCTGATGACAAGACATGGTGCTGTTCTTACAAGCCACCCCCCACCCCACCCCGAAAGCAAACATCAGTCATGCCAGTGGAAGACACAGTTGTCACCTTGCCCAAAAACTCCAAGTGAAACCCAGGTCAGACTGTTAATTAAGCTTTCTGTTTAGAGGTTCTGCAAAGATTGCATAATGGTGTGTGACAAGAAAGGTCTGATTTGTGGCAGGCGGGGTACTGGTTTGCCACCATAACAATGTACCTGCTCACACAGCCATCCCTGTGCACCTGTTTTTGGCACAACAACAACAAAACAACCCAGCATGCCTCTGTTGCCCCATGCACCTTACTCACCTGACCTCGCTCCTTGAAACTTCTTTTTGTTACTGTGAGTGAAGAGGGACACGAAAGGACAGCAACTTGACCAGGTAGAAGAGGTGAAGGAAAAACGAGGGAGGTGCTGTCAGCCATCCGAACAGGAGTTTGAAAACTGTGTCCAAGAATGGAGTCGCAGATTTGATAAATGTATTAAGTGTAATGGAGAGTACTTTGAAGGTGATCAGGTTGTTTGGGGGAACAAAATTATGGGTTTACAGTTACTTGAAGGTTAGGATTCTTTATTGTTACATGGCCATTCATCTAACGTGTAATGTGTATAACACACCATAGTCTCTTGTCTATTAGTACTAAATGACAAACCAGTTTCAAACCATATCCAGATAAAATTTTTCTGTGTGGTGCGTGTTGGGTTTTGTCGTTGTATTTCAGTTTTGGAAAGCATAGTGACAAGCAGTAAGGTCACTGGGTGCCGAAGTGGTTGCACTCCAGATTGGTGATTCCCATCTCCCTGAAGACACCACAGAGAAAGACCTAGTAATGTTTGTCCATTGAGATTACAGCCCCAACATTTATGAGCAAGTCTGCTTGGTAACACACAGGGTCACCTCCAATGCAGTGGGTTGAGTGTGGAATGTGGCTTTAATACCAAACCTCTGACATGGGTAGATATATTTTTAAAAATTTCTTCTGAAATACCAGAGTATATATGGAATGGGTCGTTTTATTTGTAGTGAGAGTGAGGACAAGATTTTGGATTAGATTTTTATCCCCTCCACCCCTAATGTTGGAGCCATGGTGGTAGAGTGGGCATCAGACTTCTAACAAGACCTTTTGGTGGTTCATACCCACCAGCTGCTCCACAGGAGAAAGATGAGTCTAATTCTGTAAAGCTGTATATTCTCAAACTCTATGAACCAGAGTTGCCTCAATAGCAGTGGGATTGGGTTGTCCCCAATGTAGACTTTATTCTCTACATTATTAACATTGTCAAATTCACTACTAATCATTCATACTGCCAGAGTTTGAATATAACAATTCATGCATCCAGATAATGTTACTGATAACAAGCAACCCCAAAACATATACTTTTACAATGATAATTAAGTATGGTTATCTTTTTATGTGGGAAACCACCCCACCACCACCACCCCCAAAAAACCCAACTAATGCCGTGGAGACAATTCTTCTGCTTAGCGGCGAGCCTGTAGAACTGTACGACTGCCCTACAGGATTTCCCCGGCTCGGAAGCTTGGAAATGGCACAAGAGCAATTTCCACATTTTTCTCCCACAAAGCTACTGGTGGGTTTGAACTGCTGACCTTTCAGTTAAGCTGAACAACTTAACCACTGCACCACAAGGGTTCCTTTTTATGTGGAGAATAATAATTGTTTCTATTGACCTAAACAAAATTATATATTTGCTTGACTTTTGGAAAGTATCTATTAAAACGTTTCACTTAGATTATTTTCAATAAGTTCTTTGAGGTAGCCAGTTAATGATTTTGATAGGTTGTCAATGATGTGATAATAGTCTAAAAGATGAATATCTGAACACGGTTAAAATTACATTTCTTTGAGGTATTGGTGTTACAGTGAAGTAGTTCACAAGCCTATCTAATCATGTAAACTCTGTCCCCACACTGATGTAAGGTGACTGAATCATCAATACAGTGCTAGTCTCATGAGAAAGGAGAGGGGTACACAGTTGATGGGGTGGGATGGAGTGCTGGGGGATTGGTTACTGGATGAGTAACAGCTCTATGGCATTGGCTTACAGAGTTTGGGGATATTTAAAAATCTTATCTCAAAGACAGGGTCCTTAGGCAGCAGAAAAACCAAATCGGTTCCGTCATTCCATTGACCAGAGCGCTTCATTTTGCACTGAACTGACCTAATGCAGACCTGTGAGAGAAATGGATGGAGGAAAAGAAATTATCTTCAGTAACGCATTGAGATTTGACCTTTAAATGGGCAGAGAAAGGGGATGCCTCAGCCATTGCTTATTCTAAGCAAAATTTTCTTATCTTTAGTTTTTAGATTAATCCTATGACAAAAATCTGAACAGATTTTTATCAGTATAGTTTAGGACCAGTCTTTTCCCAAAGTGGATGCTGGAGTGACCCAGTGGACACGCAAAAGCAGACACCTACGCTTTTATCTAATATTAGGGGCTATCGTTCAAAAAATGTTAATGGGGGTGGCTGACTAATTTTTTTTCCCCTCTGAAAAGGGGCCAAGTAGGCCAAATAAGTTTGGGAACCTATATTCTCTATCAGTGGTTCTCAACTTTTCTAATGTCACAATCCTTTAATATAGTTCCTCATGTTGTGGTGACCCCCAACCATAAAATTATTTCCGTTGCTACCTAATAACTCTCATTTTACTACTTTTATGAATTGGGCGACCCCTATGAAAGGGTCGTTAGACCTTCCAAAGGGGTCATGAGCCAAAGGTTGAGAACTGCTGCTCTATATTTAATATTAGCAGAAATATAGCGATCCATATTTTAGAATATTTTCTTACTGAACCAACTTAAATTAATAGACTTTTCTTTAGCTTTTCCTTATTCTATTTTTTTACTGACTTTTTTTAGCTTTCTTATTTAGTCTTTGAAGGTAGTTAAATATTTTTTAAAAATAAGATTGCATGTGAAATACATTTTTAGTGAGTATAACTAGAATTCACAAGGTCTGTTGGAATTGATTACATGCTTGATTGTTTGAAATAGTTCTCTCAACAATGGTCCAAATATTTATGTTTCCATTATAGAACAAAATCCAGTCTCATAGCAGAGGAGAATATAATGTTTACAGCACCTTCCAGAGCCATGAACCAGAGTTTGACTACTTGAAAAGTTTAGAAATAGAAGAAAAGATCAACAAAATTAGGTGGTTGCCCCAGAAAAATGCTGCTCAGTTTTTATTGTCTACCAATGGTAAGTGTAATATTTTTGTATTAAATTTTGTGGCTGCTCTGTACACGAGTCCTGTAGAATATGTTTTCCACTTTCAAAGACAAAATACTTGTTAAGAGACCTTTGCGAATAGACTTTTGGAGATAATAATGCAGAATTGTAAACTTGTCTTGCCTTCCCTTTTTGATTCTCTTTCCGTTCTTAAATTATATCAGTGATAGATAGTCTCAGGGGCCGATTTTTTAAAAGTTTATTGTTTTGATTAAAGTTTACTAAGTCCATTTCTATTCAACAGTCTATATATTTTGTTTTATGACATTAGTTGTAATCCTCTCAATGTAGCAGAACTCTTCTTACCTCTTCTTCCTTGCATTTCCCTTTGAATTTGGAGCGGGGGGTGGGGGGGTGGGACACAAATGCTGTCCAGGCGTTAATTTTTCATTTAGCACAACGGCACATTTTATAGTACCAAGAACCCAACTCTGCCATGAGAATTAGGTCCGATCCTGTCTCTGCCTCTTCTCACCTTAACCTGTGGTAAGTCACTAAAGCTAGTTGTGCTTTTCCTCATCTGTGAACTGGAGATGATGATATCTGTATGTTGCGTATAGAATTATTGAGTATTGGTATGATAACCCTCAGCCTACATTTACTGCTGTAGAATCAGTTCCAACTCATAGCAGCCCCGTTTGTTTGCAGCCCTAAGACGACATCTGCAGGAGCAGCCAGCTTCATCTCTCCCCCGACAATGCCAGGGCTCCTGCCATAATAGACATCCCGTCCCCAGAAAACACAAACACAAGCCCACTGCCATCCAGTCAACATAACAGACAGTAAATGCTAATTTCTGTTTTCATTTAAGATGTAGCAAGATACTTACAAAAAGTATGCCCAACTGTAAACACAATATCCTGTGAAAGTGTGGTCCCCACATTTAGATACTCCAGAAGAGAGCCTTTCCTTGGCCGCTGGCAGGATCCAGTGAAGACAAACTGGAATTGGCTTACTGCCTTCCTGTTAGTCTGTGTTGGCTTGTAATTTTGATTCAGTTTTAATTTATATGGTAAACTAAATTATTTTGAATAGCATTTTGGAGTTATGTTCTCCCCCCCCTCCCCATCCATTACATCAAACATTAAGCCATTTACAAAATCTCTACTCTTGGAAGTAAATGTCACAAGGAAGTATGCTTGCATTGGAATATTGGTTCCTGATAATAGCAGTTCGTTTTTATAAGCCAAAAATTTTTTAAATCATTTTATTAGGGTCTTGTACAACTCTTACCACAATCCATACATATATCAATTGTGTAAAGCACATTTGTACATTCATTGCCCTCATCATTCTCAAAACATTTGCTCTCCATTTAAGCCCCCTCCCTCCCTCCTCGCTCCCCCCTCCCTCATGAACCCTTGGTAATTTATAAATTATTATTTTGTCATATCTTGCCCTGTCAGACGTCTCCCTTCACCCACTTTTCTGTTGTCCGTCCCCCAGGGAGGAGATCACATGTAGATCATTGTAATCGGTTCCCCCTTTCCAACCCACTCTCCCTCTACCCTCCCAGTATCTCCACTCACACCACTGATCCTGAAGGGATCATCTGCCCTGGATTCCCTGTATTTCCAGTTCCTGTCTGTACCAGTGTACACCCATGGTCTAGCCAGACTTGCAAGGTAGAATTCGGATCATGATAGTGGGGGCGGGGAGGAAGCATTTAGGAACTAGGGGAAAGTTGTATTTTTCATCATTACTACATCGCACCCTGACTGGCTCGTCTCTTCCCCAGCCCCCTCTGCAAGGGGATCTCCAGTGATAAGCCAAATTTTTTTATGAGAAGAAATTTTAGAAATATTCACTGACATTGAAAGAGTAGTATAATGTAACCCCCAAACTCATTCCCCAGCTTCAGCAATGAACTGATCAAGGCCAAATAGCATTTCTTTTTAGTATATGTGCTCCCGAAGCGAGCACCAAATAGCATTTCTTCAGTGCTTCTCCTTTCCCTTCTCCCCACTATTATTATTGGAAAACAAATCACATTTCAGTTCATTGTGGGTGTGAATCTTAAAATAGCTTCCAACTCTCCATTCGTGTCTATATGTAGCTTCCAGGTAGGCTTCTCTGTGTTCCCCTGCATATAAATATGGAAGGCACCAAAACACATGCCAGATCCTACCAGGTCCCCTGCGTGGTGGATTGGTCAGTATCCTCAGCTAACAAAAAGACAGGCACCTCCGGAAAAAGGCCTAAGTTTCAACTTCTGAGTCATCAGCCATTTAATAAAATCCCTGTGGAGCACAGTTCAACCCTGACAAACATGGCATTGCGCTGAGTTGGAATCGACTTGATACCAGTTGGTTTTAGGCACTGTCGTAGCTCCGTAGGGAGAGAGTACTAAATTCTAAGGGGCTGGATAAGGAGTGTACATATTTACAAGGAGGCTTAAAAAAATTTATTGAAAGCATAATTAAGATAATAAAAAATTTTCCACAGCTTTTTGAAGCTACCTCCTATATGGGTTGTTGTTTTGTTTCTCTACAATTCAGTAGTGCCTTTGATTTGTGCATACTGCCAAGGTTTAAATATACTGGTTAATAGCATTTCTTCTGCAGGCACTGTGAAAATGCATTGTAAGCTTCTGTCTTTCTCTTTTGTTAATAGATACTAAATACACTGTCTGTGTGTGTGTTTGAGAATAGTAATCTTACTAACTCTGGTTCATTGTGGAAGGATTAAAAAAGAAGAAAGAAATGGGACTTGAGCTTCCCCTGAAAACTTTAGTGTCTATTTATTTTGTGTCATTTTCTCTGAGTTAAAGCATAAATAACAAATGCAGTGGCTCTTTACAGTTGTAAAATGATTAGCGAGTGCTACTGTGAGGGAGTCCTTGATGGTGTAAATACTTATACATTCGACCGTTGGCAGTTTGATTTACCCGTAAGTACCTCAGAATACAGACCTCTGAGGGTCTTTCACACGGGTATGGCTTTGAAAGCCCAATGGAGAAATTTTACTCCGACACATGGCGCCATTGCCACAAGTTGGAATCAGTGCAATGGAACTAAATGTACTTTTTGGATCTGTACTAAAGATAATGAAGTGAGTGGACCCCAAGACAACCAAAAAAAACCAACTCAAAAACAAAACAGGGAGGGAATCCTAATGCTCTTCATCTTCAGATGATTGTTTTAGAACAAATGCTTGTCCCAAATAGGAGAAGTCAAACAGTACTGTTACAGGGGTGTGTTCCCAACAAGACCTGCTGAGATGTGTCTCCACGATCAGTGAGTGCTGCAGACAAGCTCTCTCCATAGTACACTTGTCTCAGTCCTGTTAGATACATTTGGGAATAAAGGTCCAATCCAAGCATTAGCTTTACTGCTTGGCAATTGGATTCAAGGCAGACGATCAGCCCAGAAGGTTATGAAGAATGGTTTGGTGGGGTACGGGTACTAAATTTTGGTAGATTTTTCTCAAGGGACACAGATCGCGGGGACTAATTATCTTTTTAAAGAAATTGAAAATACGCATTAGTGTGAAGAAAAATTTTCTCCCCACCAGAACAACGTACCTTCTTACTTAAAACTCAAAATACATTTCATTGGGAACATAATTAATTCTCTAGAGGATACGCAAACCATCCTTTTAAGGTGGTATAAGTTGAAGAGTGCAGAATTCTCTGGGGAAAGATTAGAGAGAATATAACATCTGCCTTCAAGTATGTAAACCTAGCTGCAGGATTTGTCAAGAAACAATAACTTCACATCTTTAATAAAGGTTTCTGATGTTGTAGCAATACGGTTTGGTTTCCCTTCATATGTAATGTATGCTAGTAGGTATGTTACACATACATGGAGTCACACACCATATAACCAAGCACCTTTTAGGCAGTGCCCAACCGCACACGCATCCATGTTCCCATAGGTTTGTAAGGGAGTTCAGAAAGCTTAGTTGGAGTGTTTCACGTGGCAATTGCAACAGCTTCCCACACAGCACACCCACCATCTTGGTGGTTATAATAATGTTACTGGGTTATGCGTGTGCTGTTCTGTACTTTCGATATAAAAGTTGATTGTGTAACAGTTTGTCCTTCAAGTTGTAGGCATACATTTACAGGTTTCAGTCTTGTGAATTTGCATCGTGAGTGTTGTAGCATTATCTTACTGTTTAATTTTCTTTTAAAAGATGTGAGGTACAGCCTGGCTCCCAAACACACCAGAATTAGTGCTGCTGGTAGCAGTGTGAAGGACTAAGAAGTTTGGATTTGGAAGTGAAACATACGGTTATTAAATGACGCAAATATGGAAGATTAGTGAATGCTGTATTGTTCACGATTAAGAGTCACAACGATCCTGAAAAACAGGAAAAAATCCCAGGTTCAGCCCAATTCAGAGCTAATAGGAATGTGAGAGGTGCCCGTGTCAGACATGGGAAACTTGCTAATGACATGGATTGGGTATCAAACAAAAACAAATCCCTCTTAGTTCATTGATGATCACTGCTAAGACATAAAGCTTGTTCAGGATACATAAATAAAAAGCAGCATCAGATTATGATAGGATATTGGTCCAAATCATATAGCATCCTGTTTCAAAACATGATGGTGGATGACAAGTATTGGGCTGCTAACCATAAAGTCACTATTTCAAATCCACCAGCTGCTCTTTAGGAGAAAGATGAGACTGGATACTTAAATACACAGCAGAAAACCCTATGTATAGGATCACTGTGACTTGGAATCATTAACTGGTGGCATCAGGTTTTGTTTTTTGTGGATCATGGACATTACACAGCAGCAGTTACAGTCTCCCCTATAGGGTCTCAGTGAATTGGCATCAATTCAATGACAGTGAGTCTTAGGGTTATACAAAGGGACTTCCAAAATTGTGGGGAAATTCTGTTACATTTCAGTTCCATTTTTGTGTGCACTTTTTGAAGCCTCCTGGTATACATAACGTTGGTGGTGCATTGGTTAACCTGACTGTTATCCGAGAGGTCTACAGTTTAAACTCATCAACTACTGGAGCAAAGTGACCTAGCAGTCTATTCCTTTACAAATTATAATCCAGGAACGCCTGGAGGGAATTTCTGCTTTGTCATGGAGGATCAGAGTTGGAATTAATTAGATGGCATACAACAATAACACACACACACAAATAGGTTTTTGCACATGTAAAATAATCATTATAAAGTATAGAATTCTTGACCTACCTATACGCTATAAATATATAAATTAAGTAGCGTGTGGAAAATGTATTTAACTGCAAGATAACTATAAAATTTAGATGGGATTATCAGCTGTAAATTAACAAAAGTCAGTCATGTTTCTCTATTTAATGCACCTTACCTTTGAAAAGGGCATCCGTAGGACAACTGTAAAAGTCTACAAATAGAAGATAGCAGTTACTGAACCTGGCGTTCAGGAGTGGCTGCGATATTCCATTTCTTTTTTTTTTCTATATATATAATCATTTAATTGGGGGCTCGTACAACTCATCATAATCCATACATGCATCTGTTGTGTCAAACACATTTGTACATTTGTTGCCTTCATTCTCAAAAGATATTTCAATGTAATTTTTATTTCCTTTTGAACTGCTTTTATAAAGACATTAATTTTATTTTACACCCATTTGCCTATGAAAGACCACTAAAATGTGAAAATTCATGTAAGAATAGTATTTTATGATTATAAACAAAATATTCCATTCATAACTCATTACTAACAAATAATTGATTCGGTAAATAAATGGAGACTCAGGTCTTCATATTCCTCCCAGAAGAATTGATTCTCTCCACTCCAGGAGATAGAACTTAGTTCTCCTTTATGTATGGGTTGAGTTTAGTAACTTGCTTCCAAAAATAGCAAGGGAGAAATTATAAGTACATGGTAGAGAGACTTACCAGTTGCTACATCAGCTAAAAGATCAGTTAATATTGCCAAAGATCAGTTTTTGCCACCATCTGTCCCCCAATGGGATACAAGGAAAACAACTCACCACTGATAGTCTTACATCCCTATGATCCCAGTCTGATGATGAGACAATCCCCTTAAGGGACAGTGTACAAAATAACTTGACCAACCACTCCTTAAGTGTGAAAGTTATAAGCCATAACCAGGAATGTCTGAGAAACTGTTAAAATCAGAAGATATTTGAGAACAAAATACAGTGTGCTTTTGGATTCTGGATTGGTTCCTGGGACAGAAAAGGGACACTACTTAAAATATAGTGAGATCTGAGTAAAGACTTTAGTTTACAATGTTAATTTCTTAACTTTGACAAATAAGTGAGGCACTATATTGTTATCCATAACCTTTCTATGTACCGAAACTTAATTCCAAAAAAGACAGACCATTTGCTTTTTGAAAAGTAGTGTGCTATATATTGCCCTATCATGGTGAGGATGTATGCTTTTAACTGCTCAATACTTTTTCAGACCCTATTTCCTACTTCTGAACCTCTAGTGTAGTGATGGAAACACCCCACCCACTACCATCAAATTGATTCCATCTTACATTGACCATATAGGACAGGGGAGAGCTGCTCCATAGGGTTCCCAGGCAGTAAATGTTTACTGAAGCTGGCTGCCACATCTTTCTCCTTTCAAGTGGTAGCTTTGAACTGTCAATCTTTTGGCTAGCAATCCAGCGCGTTCTACACTAAGGCATCTGGGTCAATGAAAGAATTCTTCAATAAACTCTCCAGGAGATGATTGACACCATGGCTGCAACTATGGGCTCAACCTTAGGAACCATTGAGAGGCTGGTGCAGGACCGGGCAGTGTTCGGTTCTGTTGTGCATTAGGTTGCGACGGGTGAGAACCGACTCAGTGGCATCTAACCACAACAACAGACTACAGCAAGATCGAGGAAGATCCAGAGTCCTTAACATTTTGATTCTAAGTAATGGATTCTCTTAACTCACTATTCTTTCCTCCTCCTATGTTTACAAAGTCATGTATAGATGCTAAACTAGAGGATAGATGCTTAGATACTGACATGCTGTCAAGGTGATTCTCACTCATAACAACGAGACACAGGGCCCTGTCCTGAACCATCCTCCAATGCAGTGGGTCTCAACCTTCCTAATGCTGCGACCTTTTAATACAGTTCCTGATGTTGTGGTGACCCCCAACCATAGCATTATTTTCATTTCTACTTCTTAACTGTAATTTTGCTACTGATATGAATCAGGTTACCCCCCCCCAGGGGTCGCGACCCACAGGTTGAGAACCACTGCTCCAGTGGTTGCTGTGTTTGAGCCTATTGTTGCACACATTATAACAGTTTGTTTATTTATTGTGTCTTCTCTTTTTCACTGACATCTATTTTACTAAACAAACTTTGTGTCCCCTCCAGGGACACTGGTTCCTCCTGATCAGGTGTCCAAAGTATATGAGATAAAGTCTTGCCATCCTCAGTTCTCCAGAACATTCTGGCTGTACTTTTTCCAAGACACATTTGTTTTATTTTCGGGCAGGTACTTGGAATATTCTTTGCCCTCACTACAGTTCAGATGCATGGATTCCTTCTTCAGTCTTCCTCACCCACCTTTCACTTTCTCCTCCTTTCTCTGGCTTACGTTTAAAGGCTCGAGACCTGTGTGCGGCTCGTTTAAATAGCAAGTGAAATTTTATATGGGTGCTTCATATGGAAGTTGGGAATTTGTGTGTGTGTGTGTGTGTTTTCACCTGGCTATAGTAATTTTTTTATTATTAAATCAGACAAAGGATTTTATTCACTTTGTTTTAGGTAGGTGAAATAATGAGATACATTTCAGGAAAAAACGCATTCAAATGTCTCTTTAGTTAGTATTGGAGTCTCTTTTCTGTCTTTTTTTCTGAAAACTTGCTCTATTTTCTTCCCAGATAAAACCATAAAACTATGGAAAATTAGTGAAAGGGACAAAAGACCAGAAGGGTATAACTTGAAAGAGGAAGATGGAAGGTACAGAGACCCTACTACAGTCACTACACTACGAGTAAGTACATTCTGATGACCAGTGTTCGTAGCTCATTTCTAGGTCCTGAGCAGAACTTAAATAGGAATCACAACATTCTGCTCCCTTCCCCCCACCAAGTCTCTGTCAGTAGGACATTTATTTTAACCCCCATATTCAACATAGAAATGGGTCTACAAAGGTCACAGCTAGGACTGTGGACAACGTCTCAACCAGGACTCAAATAGAAGACTGTCTTGGCACTGTTACCCAAAAAAAACAAACCTACTGCCATTGAGTAGATCCTGACAGCAACCCTGTAGAGCATAGTAGGACCACTTCCTTGGGTTTCCAGGACTATGAATCCTTACAGGTGCAGGTATCCCCATCTTAACCCAATATGGATCCGGGGCTCCTTTGTATTACACTTAAGAAGATTAGTTTCAAAATTAATTACCTTTGAGAGCAAAGAAGTAGATTTGCACTAAATATTGTAGCTCACAAATACTGAAAATTAAAAGCTGCTATGGACCGCTTTGAGCCTTAAGCAGTTATTAGCATGGTAGACCTCTGCAGCAAAAAGAGTCACTTGAAAAAACTGCAAACTTGTAATGGCGATAAGATAGCTGTGATTTGGAATCGACTTGATGGCAGTGGGTGTGCATTTTGTTTGTTTGTTTACTGTTGCCAGTAAGAGAAGGCTAATTATCGGAATTGTTTTCCCCTTTGCATTTCACCATTTTAAAGACTATACAACCATTGGTCTTTAAAACTAAATCCCTGCGTAAAATTGTATTTTTATGTTTTGCCAGAAACAAAAATAATGATAGGCATGACTGTTAAGAATCAATATTTTAAAATAATAAAGCTCTTTCTTGTCTTATTGACAGGTACCAGTCTTTAGGCCCATGGATCTAATGGTTGAGGCCAGTCCACGAAGAATATTTGCCAATGCTCATACATATCACATCAACTCTATTTCTATTAATAGTGATTATGAAACATATTTATCTGCAGATGATTTGCGGATTAACCTTTGGCATCTGGAAATTACAGACAGGAGTTTTAGTATCCATTTGGGTGTGGGAGTTTGGTTTTGGAAAGTGTATGTCTACTGGATTTATTCCCTTCCATCCTAATTCATATTTATGTTTACATTTTCTATTGTCCTTTAACATATGTGAGTTCTTATTTTATACTTTTTTTCTTCGTATATGATTGATTGAACATAAAGTCATTAGAAATTTCTCTGAGCCCCTTTAAAATACACATTTTTAAAAAAATTCTTGGCATATGTTAGCAGGTATTGTTAATGTATGCATTTCCAAATAGATAGCCTTTGAAAAAAAATAACTAAATTATTATCTACCAACAAATATATGAGAGCTCTTTTCCCCTATAACTTACCAGTCTAACACCTAAATCAGTGAATAATACTTTTGTTTTAATTTGCATTTCTCTCATCATGAGAGAAGTGAATAATCCTTTTATGTGTATAAAACATGCTGTTGTTTTTTGGATTTACATCTTTTCATTGCTTTTTTTTTTTTTCAAAGCACTGTACTTGTGTTAAGTAAATCTTCCCTGTCAGCTGTGTTACAGTAGTTTAATTTTTCAGCCTGTTGAGTCCCCTTAATGTACATTAAGCTCTTTTAATAGTAAATTTAATATTGAATTAATAGTTAATGCTGTTTATAAGACTGATAAATTTAAGTGTGTGTGGGGGGGGTTTGTTTGTTTGTTTTTAGTGGATTTCTGTTAGACCTAGAAAAATGTAGTATAAAATGGCTTCAAGTGCCCGTGTTTTCTTCTGTTGTTTTAAGCATTAAAATTTTGGTCCCTTTAGAATGTATTCTCTTATAAAGAACGAAAATATAAATTTCCAGATTATTTTCTCCTCAAATGTCCAGTCATTTCAGGAATAACACCCCACCCCACCCCCATTTGAAATCCACTTTACATTCTCTTTGTACTTTTCTGATCCATCATTGATTTGTGTATACTCTGTTCCATTTAATATTGATTTAGGATATTTTTTAGCATCTCATAGAGCTAAATTCCCCTCATGACACGAAACAGAGTAAAGTTGATTACTGAATTGCTTACCTTTCGATTTGTATTTTACTTTGGTTAGGAGGGAAGGGTGTGTGGGTGTGGGTGTGTGTACACTAAAATGAAATTTAGATATAATACTTGTGCTTATGTGTATGAATGGCTTTCAGGTTCAAGACATGTAAATTTACATTTGCTGTGCTTCCTAAGTGGGGATTCCTTAATAAAATGTGTTCAGATATTGTGGACATTAAGCCTGCCAATATGGAAGAGCTCACTGAGGTGATAACAGCAGCTGAGTTCCATCCAAACAGCTGTAACACGTTTGTATACAGCAGTAGTAAAGGAACTATTCGGTTATGCGACATGAGGGCATCCGCCCTCTGCGACAGGCATTCTAAATGTAAGTTCATTGCTGTGTCTTTCTGTGAAATGATAGCATTTCCTATTTGCCTTACACTAACCTCAGACATGCTAAGTTTATTTACATAGGCTTGAAAGTTGTTAGTCTGTGTGCTCTAGGCCTCTTGCATCCTTTGGAGAACTGCCACATGAGGTAGTACAGGTCATCATACTGAAAGCACCCTTGGCAATATTTTCTGCTGATGGCCCCATGTTCTTAGTTTATGTTCTTAGTAGAATGCTATTTTTGAGGAACTGGTAGTTGGGCCCTTGGGGGTGCTTCTCAGTCTTAAATATCAGTTTAATTTTTTTTCCCTTTTTCTTTTCCTTCCTCCCTCTCTTTTGATTATATTCTGAAGATTTTGTAGGATAAAAGGTTGCCATGGCTGTAATTTAAAAAGTTTGAAACTCATTGGATTATCAAATTAAGTGGTTACAGTATTACTTCTAAGTAATACTGAATAATTTTTTTTTAAGCTCATGAAAATCAGTGCAAACCTGTTACTGAAGAATTTTATCTGCTCATTCTAAAATCAATAGCAGAATCATGTTTGGAAGGTGTCTTTTTCATAGTGACACAATATGGACAAAGTCAACGAGTATATGCAGAATATGTAAATTGGTTGCACTGATGTCCAGTTCAGAATGATCCTAGTTCCACTCAATTAGCACTGCCACTGCACACTTAACTGAAGATCTTTAAAAACAAAACCAGAAAAAGCTTTAAGGGAAATGATGTTATTAGAACAGTTTTTTTCTTTCCTTTATATGCCTGTCAAGAAGTCCTTGTGGTGCATGGTTAAGTGCTCAGCTGCTAACTGGAAGGTTGGAGGTTTGAACCCACCAGCTGCTCCTAGAGAGGAAGGTTTTCTAGCATAAATGTCACTGCCTTGGAAAGCCTGCGAGGCAGTTCTCTGTCCTGTATGGTCACTGAGTCAAAATCAATGGCACCAAGTTCACATGGGAGTTGGGATTAGCCTATGATTCTACATCACTTAGAAAGTTTGTGAATGGTTGTTTCAGGAATTGCCTTTTACTGAAACCAGAAAATTTACACTTTGCTTTTCATTTTTTGCTTGTTTTCAGTGTTTGAAGAACCTGAAGATCCCAGTAACAGGTCATTTTTTTCTGAAATCATCTCTTCGATTTCTGATGTAAAGTTCAGCCATAGTGGTCGATATATGATGACTAGAGACTATTTGTCAGTCAAAATTTGGGACTTAAATATGGAAAACAGGCCTGTGGAAACATATCAGGTATGTACAGTTTTACCTTTCAGTGTGCATAGACTATTTGTCTGCCCCAACATAGTGTGTGTTCTCCAGTAGAGTAGGCTTCTCCCCCCCTCGGAGATCACTAGGTGAGGCACGCTGTCCGTGCTTGACTGTCAGCAAGGGTTGGTGGCTTGAACCCACTGAGCAGCAATGTAAAAGTAAGTCTTGGCAATCTGCTCTTTGAAAGATTTCTACCCTGGAAAATTCTGTGTCTGGATCTAAGCTCTACGGTGTGACACATTAGAACACCAGGAGTCGACGTCACCTCAACTACACTGGGTTTGAGTTTCTGCTTGTTTGGGTTTGGTTTGTGACAAACATAAAACACTCAGGATTCTCCTTAATGGTGTTTGAAATTTCAGTTAGTACCCTAGTTGAAATAAAAACAAAAGGATAAAGGCGACTGTTTGGCTTTACAACTTTCCTTGTGTAGCCCTCAAGACTCTGATCAGTGCCTAGTGGTAACTCCTCCAGTGCTGTGCAGTTGCTCTGCCCCTGCCAAATTGAATTCCTGAACAAAAGCAGGGTGTGTATATCACTTATATTTAGCTTCTACAGATTCGTGTATCTCTGTTGAATTCGCACAATTGTATGCCCTGATTTGTATGTGATTGAAGAGTATTTGTAGCTCTTTTTTTGCCTTGTATGTAGATTTTGGAACCTGACTGCACATGAGCTGCAACTCCTCTATAAACTCACTTTATGTCTCGCAGGCCTGGTTTGCATCACTGCGACACAGAGTTCAAATGGGTACCTGAAATAAGTTGAGGGCTTCATGACGAGTGGTGGAGAAGTCTTCACTTTGAGAAGGCTGCGCTGTTCTATGATGCCGCCCTTTTGACGTTTTCTTTTAGTGAAAGGGGGATGAAAAAGAGCTAGTAAATTCCTTTTCTTCCCTCTGATCACAGCAAACACTGCGAGTGCATCCTGTTTCTCCGAACATTTGAAATACTAGGCTTACTTACTGCCTAACTTACACATTTATGAAATATTAGTAAATTCTGAATTAATACCTCAGAATGTCATTTTTCGAAATCTAACCCTTTGATGCTACATAAGTAACACCAAGCAATGCTATGCATTTATACGTCACTAAAACTGGCACATGATCATGCTATGTGTAATAGCATAAGCATTTTTTAATTAAATCATTTTATTAGGGGCTATAGCATAAGCATTTAATGAAAGATAGTTCAGTCATTTACGCCCATAAACTGGCATTTAAATAGGAAGAGGTAGGCACTTTTCTTTCCCAAGTATTTTAGTTTGTGTTATAAAAGAATGTGTCATGTTTAAAGTGGATTTTTTTTTCCACTCTCTTCAACAGTAAAATGTGTGTTTCTAGAAGAGGACCACTCTATTTCTAAATTTTAGGGTCATGTGCTATTACTATAGAGACTAAATAAGATTAAGGGGGTTTGTGTATGTTTATTTTTTAAAAATATTCGATTAATTATATCATTACCTAGTTTCAACAGGTCATGAGTTTAAGTAAATACATATAGGCATACCATTTATGTTTTTCTCCAGGTGCATGAATACCTCAGAAGTAAACTTTGTTCGCTATATGAAAATGACTGCATATTTGACAAATTTGAATGTTGTTGGAATGGATCTGACAGGTAACTGGTTTTAATTTAAACCTCTTATTCAAGCATTAGCTTTATCAGAGGAAGGAAATGTACTATTTAACTCTCCTTACATGCTTGGTCCATTGGGTTGCTAATAAAGGTCCGCCCTTCAAACTCCCCAGCTGGTCTATGAGAGAAAGGTGAGGCGGTCTACTTCCCCGTCTACTTCCCCGGAGACAGCAGTGCAGCCTGTTTGACAAAGCTGCTGCGAGTGGGGGCCGCCCCCTGGCGGGGGTTGTCCTGTTTGCTGGGCAGTTCTCCATGGGAGAACTCGTCCTTCCATTCTCCAGCTTCCATTCCTGAGCTCAGTGCACCTTGCCCAACCACCTCCTGTCTGTCAGTGGTGACTTCTGTTCATTTGATGTTGAACAGGTTTCAGCAAAGTTAATCTGTGTTTAGAAGCCTTTATTTAAGCAGACTTCAGTTGTTTGGTGTGTTACATACCAGGGTTTTTCCCCATACATAAAGTGTACACCTCAGAGAAATCGTATTTGGTATATGTCCTTGCTGTAACATTATAACCATGAGTGACTGTTGCTTTCTATCATTGTAGTTTTGTTGTAGTGTCATTCCTTTTTATGGGGTTTTGAAATGCTCATACTACTATTCCCAAGGATAAATAATCCTTACTTTCTGTATCTTAGGTGACAATATTTATTTAGCAATTAGTACATTCCAATGAAACAAAATAACAATTTTGGAATTATTTACACTTCCATTAAAAGTAATTTGAGACACTTTGCTCAATAATAGTTGAATCATGGAAGTGTGGTACGATGGATTTCATTTTGCAGAGGCTAGTAGAACATGGAACTTTAAAAAAAATCATTTTATTGGGGACTCTTAAAGTTCTTGTAACAATCCATACATCAGTTGTATCAAGCACATTTGTGCATATGTTGCCATCATCACTTTTCAAACCATTTTCTTTCTACTTGAGGCCTTGGTATCAGCTCCTCTTTTTTCCCTTCAGAACTTGGAACTTTTATATTTTATCTGTTAATTGTTTTTCCTTCTCTTTTTTATAGCATGAATTTTACTTTTAGTACGTCTGGCCACAGTGAACCAAGAGCCCTATTGGTCAGGCTAAGGAAACCCTATCTGTACTGTCACTGCTAAACCTGAGAAGACAGGAAGCCTGGGGCAAGGAAGGATAAAAGAAGAAATTAGCACAGTCTAAGGGCAAGAAAATGTATTTACTAAGTTACTGTCAACATGTTCCTTAATTCAAATCTGCTTAACATTTAGTAGAGGCTGACTATGCTAGGCTAGATGTAAATACTGAGCAGTATGTATTTTTTAAATCTCTGGTTCATCTGTTTTGACTGACTGTTCTGTCTACTTTTTACAGTGTTGTCATGACTGGGTCTTACAATAACTTCTTCAGAATGTTCGACAGGAACACAAAGCGAGACATAACCCTGGAAGCATCCCGGGAAAACAATAAACCTCGCACAGTTCTGAAGCCCCGCAAAGTCTGTGCAAGCGGCAAGCGGAAGAAAGATGAAATCAGTGTTGACAGCCTAGACTTCAACAAGAAAATACTTCATACAGCCTGGCACCCCAAGGAAAATATCATTGCTGTAGCCACTACAAACAATCTGTATATATTTCAAGACAAAGTGAATTAGGGTTGGCATTCCTAGCAGAAGAACCCACTTCCTGCTTAGTTGAGATAGTTGAATCTAGCATTCGTATCTATAAAAGAGAGAGGTCCATTGTGGCACCCCTTTCCAGTGTTTAACAATGTGCCATTTGACAACACATTTGTATAGCTGCATGGAGAAAGCTCTGTTGGTTCGTCACTGTGTTCTTCTCCATGCCGGCTAGCCATGTAGGTAAGGGTAGGGCACTTTTCATTTAAATGACTTCTTGCACCATCTTGCCTAATGGACTAGATTGGACTGTATCAACATTGATTTACTCCACTTTTTATGCCTTCCATTGTGATGACTCAAACACAGTGAAAGCCTTCAGTCATGCTGTGGGATTTAATTGTGTATCCTCATACTGTATCATTGGTGGGGTACACCCATTCCCCTTTTTAAATTAAATACAGCTCATTCTTACTGTGGCTTGTAGCATTCCTCCTCTCCTGGACTCCTCCCCCTCATCTCTCGTACCCTGCCCCTCCCCCCAGTCTTGGGGGTGGTGTCTAAAAAAGAACGAACGAAAGCACACAGTGAGTCAGCTTGGGGTCCGTGGTAAAGGGGGACATGTTGCAAACAAATGTTTTAAATAACAGTTGGCTGTAATCACTCCTTGCCATGTCTGGCACTGAAAATAAGGGAAACAAACTACTGAATAAAAGTGACAAAGAATGGAGAATCTGGTTTTCTTTTTCTTTGGATCTACCTCTTTAAGCCAAGGCACGTGAAATGAAATGAGTTTCCATTGTTTTACTGGCATTTTTGTTCGTTATTTTTAACAAGTCTTACATGAAGAAGAGGTGTTGTTTCTGTATGAACATGTTTTGAATATGTTTTTGGTGTTACTGAGGATTCCAAAATCTATAAAATGCTACTGGGCTTGTTGTTGTTATTTACATTGTAGTTATGTGAGGGTATTGAACACATTGGCATCTGCACTTAACTCATCTGTTAATGAGATTGTAAGTTGGAACCAATTTATAGAACCTCATTTTTTAGATACTTTATAGCACTTAATTTTGCCTTGCTACAAATACTGAGTCACAGATTTAATAAGTTGAAACTTTGTTTTTGTGCTTTCAGTCATGTACTGTAGCATACACCAAACACCCAATGATTTTATGTGAACACTGCATTAAACTTTTTCTTTTACTGCTACTAAATCAGAAGGAACTGTGTTGGCACCAAGTTAAGTGCTTTGTCTGCTAACCAAAAGGTCAGCAGTTCAAACCCAGCAGCTGCTTTGTGGGAGAAGGACTACAGCCCACTTCCATCAAGATTACAGCTTTGGAGACCGTATGGGGTAGTTCTAATCTGTTCTGTAAAATTGTTATGAGTCAGAATTGACTGTGACAGCAGGAATTTTCTTTTTACCAAATCTGAGTTAAAGGATTTTGCCATAACTGGGTTTTTTTCCATTCCAATTTTTGTTTTCCAGAGCTATTAAAAACCAACTTTAAAGGTACAGTGTTCAGAAGTGCTTAATGGACTCCCAACAGCTGCCTCAAATAAAAATTTAGTGATCTGTATATGGCTACATTATCCATAAGTGATAATACTTTATCCAAAGATGAAGAGTACCCTATTTTTAATAGGTAGAATGTACCTTTGTCCGTCTTTTAGAAGCTTTAATTGAGAAAAACAAAAACTTTATTTTTAAAAGATGAATTTAAGTGGGCATTTATATTATTAGAGAACTGTAGTATATTTTGGTTGAGCAGTAATATAACAGCCTCAAATTGTAGAGGACTCAGTGCTTCTTACATGTCCACTACTTACTGTTCTGTTCCTCAGTAATAAAAAGTGATTAAACAACACAAATACCCTTCACAGGTATACAATATTATGTCTTGTTAACATTTTGGCACACCAGAGAAATTTTATGTAATAAAATGACTGTATCTTTTGGACTCACCATACCTGAATTTGTATTTAAACATTGATGGTCTGTGTGATAAATCTTAAGGTGATGGCACTTTTACTAATTTATTTGGGGATCTTGGGTGCATTCATAGTTTGTGTTACTTATTCTTCAGACTTAACTTAGAAGCAAGATATTCCCTTAGCAAGCAGTAACACGCTGTTCTCTTACTGGACAACTTTCTGATGATCTTGGGGAGGCGGTTTTCCTAGCCTTTGAGTGTGTCTCTCGAGGTCACATCACCCAACTGCTTTGGGGAGCTCTCTTCTGATTCAACAGTAGCTGTGATGATTCTTACCCAGGACACTAAGGGTTAGTTTGTTTTACATATATTTAAGAGATTATTGCTAGAAATCAAATGCCGCTATCAAGGAATGCTATTATAAATCATTGTAACAATATTCTCAAGTACAGTTTTTTCAGTTCTTTGATGTAGCAAGCTAAGCCCAAGCCACTCACTCTATGTGGCCGTGGCTCATCTTTTTATTAAACATTATGCATAGGGTAAACTCGGTCTTGTCAAGTTGCTCGTATTTCCTATTTTCTTGCCACTAGTATACTCATTTTACTCCTACTGTCTTAACCTTGAAAAAAATTCATGACAGGAAAAAAGCATTCTATTCATCTTCGTGGCTCAGCAAGAAGAGTAATTTTAAGTATCTGTATCTATGTAAACATATGTTTATATACATTTAACTACTGGATATTAAACTTTTCTTCTGTGAAGTCCTTAGTCTTGGAATAAAAAAAATGCATCCATGCACTTTTTCCTTTCAAAATAAAGTGAGGATTTTTTTAACCTTAAATGTGGAGAATTATTTTGATTACAGAAATTCCCGTATTAAAGAAAGAATTGGGAAAATTTACGTTATTGAATAGAATAGTATTTTCCCTTTACAGGAATAATGTGTTCTTAGCGTATGTCGGTGTGAAAGCTTAAGATGCTGTTAAGCATTTTTAGTGAAACCATTGCCTTCAAGAAAATAATGAATCGGCATCCTTTCCCCCTTACCTCTCAGGAATTCAGGTACACCTGTAATGTGTACTCCGGGAAGAACTAAACCAAGTCCTCCCAAAAGATAGAAAATACAGATAGATGCTAAGTCATCAGGAATACAAGCCTGATGTATTTCTTTAGTATTTCATTGCACAACGGTTGGTCTTAGCTGATTGGATTGTGTCTTTGTTTTACCAGGGTTTAAAAAGGTTGGTTGCTTTTTTCACATCTCCCCCCCAAAAGCTGAGGCGACCTTGCTGCGTCTTGATATCTCTGTGGGAGTGGAGGAGTTCATGAGAGCACTTCTCATTCCATTTCTCCTCCAACTCTTTGAAGCCCCATTGTGTAAGGTCACAGCATTGTAACATCAGTAAGTCCAGAAGCCTGGGTTCTTAAATGCTGAAGGGACTAAGTTTCATGATAAATTGTGTTTTTGTCCTCCTGCCATAGTTGGATTGGGATTAGACTTGGTGACCTGTTACCTCAATATAAGAATTTATATAATCCCCACCTTCCAGGTTTATAGTGAACACGAAATGCCCTCCCTAGGCCTGGTGGTGTCACCAGTTAGGCACGGACTGCCGATCCATCTGCTCCCCTGGAAAAAGATGAGGTGGTTCTCAACCTGGGGGTCGGACGACGGTTTCACAGGGGTCGCCTGGTTCCTAGCAGTAGCATAATGACAGTTAAGAAGTAGCAACATAAATTTTAAGGTTGGGGGTCACCACAACATGAGGAACTGTATGAGAGGGTCACGGCTTGAGGAAGGTTGAGACCCACTTTACTGTAGTAAAGCCTTGTCACGGAAACCCTATGTAGGGTTGCTGTGGTGAGTGAGCATCGTGCTGATCAAACAAACCTACAAGATGTAGTTGTTGTGTTTGGGTTTTTTTAAGATGTAGTTTTGTAGTTTGGTAAACATAAGATGGTAGTTGAGGGAAATAAGTATTTGTCTTAATTTTCTATGCTTCAGCTCTTGGGATGTGGATATATCGTCATTGAGGACTTTACCACTAGGGGGCAACAATTACGTCTCAAACATTTAAAGGTATATTGTGCTGGAGGAATGTATTAAAAATTAAATCAAGTCACTACAGGAAGTCTGAAGAGTTTATTTCCCAATAAACCACTTATTTAACACACCCAGAAGAGCTTGAGAGCCTAGTGATGAAAGGGACCCACGGGCCAACTGATAGTAGTCCTAGTCATCGTGCGGGAGAAGCCGCACAGATGAAATCTAGGCTCTGAGCTGTTTGTTCCAGATACTGGGTTGGTCTGCCTGCCTCTTGCAAAACCGTCAAGTGTGTGCCACATGAGCACCTCTATTAGTTGTCTAGGACACCGGGCCTTGCGTGTTCGTATCATGCTAATTTCCTCTTAAAAACTAACTTCTGTATTCTGAATACACGTTTTTGGAAGGGGAGAGGACACTATTACCAGTAATTTAATGATGCAGAAAATTCCCATTCACATTAAGTTTTTTTCCATTTTTATTTTCTACTTAACATATATATATATATATATATATATATATATATATATACACATACATACATGTAGTGTAATGTTTTAATTTTCTACTTAACATCCGGACCATTATATTTTCTATAGTTTCTGTGTCCTAGATTTTCATGTCTGCAGAGTTTAACATTTGTGAATGTATCTTTTTAAATAGCCCTTTTAAAATCTGAGTCCTCATTTTTGCTAGTAGAAGTATTGGAATAATGGAACTTTCACGTTAGACTGGTCGTCAGAAGGGATCCATCCCTTGTAAAGAACATCATGTCTGACAAGGTCAGCTGAACGGGAAAGGCCCTCGGTGAGATGAATGGACACTTGCTGCGACTGGGCTCAAACATGGCCAACGGGATGGCGCAGGGCCGGGCAGCACAGTTGTGCGTAGATTCGTTGAGTCAAGCAACGTGGTGTCACCTACCAACAACAGTGTTTTGTGCTTTGCAGCATACAGTAGTACACATTTATGAACGCTTCATCTTGATCATGTATCTTCACACCTTCAAAGCTCAATTGTGGACATCTTAAAGTGCCATGTGCACAGTTCGGGTGGCTGCAGGTTGTTCATAACTAATGTTTTTGCTTCTCATTCTGACGCTTTTTACTTCTCGGGTGCCTGCCCTGGATGGGTCAACCTCCAGTGGGATGCTGAGTCCGAGTGGGCAGAGCAGACGCCCTTGGGGAGAAAACAGTATTTCACCAGGAACACGTGTTAGTTGTAAGAGTTCTCTTGTCCTCGTTAGCCGTCATCAAGTCTGCTTCAGCGCATGGTAACTATACACAGGGAACAAAACATTCAATTCTTACAGGTTGGAGTTGGACTATTGTGAACAAGTGGGGGTTATATTGACATTTTTGGAAGTAGATTACCATACCTTTCTTCCTGGTCTGTCTTAGTCGGGAATCTGTGGAAATCTTTTCAGCGTCTTAGCAACACCAACCACTCCACTGCCAGTTGAGTGATGGCTGTGGATGAGGTGCGTGGCCATGAATTGTTGAGCACTAGACTCCCGCTGGAAGGTGGGAGTCTACCAGTGAACTGCCAACGCTTTGTGGGTGTGGAAATTTCCTCTGACTCCTACTGTTCTGTTAGTTCTTAAATTTTGTCAGATGTTTTTCCTGCATCAGGTTTTATTTGTATTGTTTGTGTTGAATTAATCTGTCATTTTTGAGTATCTTTTATTTGTTTTCCTTGAATAAGCATTGGCTCATTTCAAGGGATTTTTCAATTTATCTCATTTGGCAA